CAGCAGAAGTTAATGGGAGTTGAAAATGCTCAGCACCTTTGAAAATCAGGCCAAAGGTGACTTTAACTTGGTTACCCACAGTTAAAAACCAGTTCTGAAAAACTGAATGTGACTCATCCAGTGAGTCAATGGAAGAGATTGTAATAGAATTCAGGAATCCTCAGTCTTATTCTCATCTCCTGGCCACTGCACCAAGGACTTTCTTTACTTTGACTTGCAGCATCTGTTACAAAGTTGCTCTGTGATGATGACGTTGTCTTTCTCTTCTAATTCTGATGAGGCATTGCCATTATTACCCTGCAAGATATGTTCATAGATGATGAACTTACAGGGCTTAAAAAATGCCAAGTGTTTTTGTATGGTTCACTTTGACAAATCTGTGCCAAGGTCACACTGAAAAAAGGCGCTAAAGATGGTAAATTCTATAGCAGGGGTACGGAACGTCAGGCCCAGTGGCCTAATGCAGCCCTCTGTTTGTCTGGATCTGGCTCCTGAGGCTCATGGTCCCTACAGCATTGGGGAGCTCATTTTGGTGCTTCAGCCCTCTGGCTGCTCCCCTGGGGGATGTAGCACACAAAATCTACTAGGCTGGGGCCCCCAGACCCTGGTGTGAGAGGTGAATATGTGGAGTGTCTTTCTCCTCAGTTGGGAGCCACAGTGTTTCCCCTCCTCCCCGCTTCTCACTTTGCGTGCACCCCTCCACAGATTTTTCTGTGAATCAGTGGCCCCTGACCCAGAAAAGGGTCCCCACTCCTGTTCTATAGGTTTACAAGGGTAGCACCTCTGAAAAGGTATGCTCTGTGGTAAATAATGGGAGAGTGGCTGTTTTTCTTCCTTTAATCATGGACACAGACTCTGAAATTAAGTGCAGCAGGTTAGGAAGATACTGTAAAGTTAGAATCTGTAAATACACATACATGAGTACTGGCTTCAGCTATTGTATTTTATGTAGCTATGCCAGGAACTATGTTTTGCCATCAACAAAGAAAATGAATGAATGCAACAGATACCTAAACCTATTAGTGTTCATATGCTCTTAGGAGCTGCCTGTTAAAATAGGGCTACTAACTGGAGGGCTACGTCTACACTGGCCCCTTTTTCGAAAGGGGCATGCTAATTTTAAACTTCGGAATAGGGAAATCCGCGGGGGATTTAAATATCCCCCATGGGATTTAAATAAAGATGTCCGCCGCTTTTTTCCGGCTTGGGGAAAAGCCGGAAAAAAGCGTCTAGACTGGCCCGATCCTCTGGAATAAAGCCCTATTCCGGAGGAACTCTTATTCCTACTTTGAAAAAAAGCGGCGGACATCTTTATTGAAATCCCGCGGGGGATATTTAAATCTCCCGCGGATTTCCCTATTCCAAAGTTTAAAATTAGCATGCCCCTTTCGAAAAAGGGGCCAGTGTAGACGTAGCCGAGGTGATTTCTAGTGGCCCAATTTAGTTGCTTAATCAGACCAGTCAGAGATGCCTTTTAATATCCGTGGTGCTCAGAAAATATCTCCAAAGAGCTTGCATAGAGTGGTAGAGCATTGTTGTATTTTTTAAAGAGACCTTAATACGTTTTTAAGACATCACCCTCATTCATTCTCATTTCCAATTACTCATCAGGAACACCTAGCCTTGTTATCTCCATCACTTAGGCTACCTCCACACTGCAGGCTTCTTGCGCAAGAACTGTTTTGTGCAAAAGTTCTTGGGCAAAAAGTCTTACACAAGAGTGCGTCCACATTGCCATGTGCTTTTGCACAAGAGCATCCATGGCAGTGTGGACACTCTCTTGAGCAAGAAAGCTCTGATTGCCATTTTAGCCATAGGGGTTTCTTGTGCAAGAAACCCCTGTTGCCCATCCACACTGCCTTCTGGAGCAAGAGCTCTTGCACAAGAGGGCTTATTCCTGGTGGGGAGAGGAATAACTCTTGTGCAAGAAGCCATCTTATCTGATGCTTTACTATAAATTTACTTGTGCAAGAACACGCATGCAGTGTAGCCACTCTACAAGTTTTTGCACAAGAACAGTTGTTCTTGCGCAAAAAAACCTGCAGTGTAGATGTAGCCAGTCTGGCTATGTCTACACTGGCGAGTTGTTGCACCAGAAGTATGAAAATGAGGCTAAGCGTGGAATATCGCCGAGCCTCATTTGCATACCTAATGAGCCATCATTTTTGCAGAAGAGGCTCTTGAGCTAGAAGGAGCTGTCTACACTGCTCCTTCTTCTGCAAGAAAAACCCTCTTGCGCAATGCCGTTATTCCTGAAAATAATCAGCGTTGCAGCATTGCGCAAGAGTGTTTTTCTTGCTCAAGAAGGGGCGGTGTAGACAGCTCCTTCTAGCGCAAGAGTAGTCCTCTGAAAACATCCACTCGTGTGCAGCAGCTGTCAGAAAAGGAAACAGAAGTTTAGGAATCATAATAAAAGGGATAGTGAATAAAACAGACTATGACGTAGCCTCTGGCTACGTCTAGACTGGCATGATTTTCCGCAAATGCTTTTAATGGAAAAGTTTTTCTGTTAAAAGCATTTGTGGAAAAGAGCGTCTAGATTGGCACGTACGCTTTTCCACAAAAGCACTTTTTGCGGAAAAGCGTCCGTGCCAATCTAGACGTGGTGTTGCGCAAGAAAACCCTGATTGCCATTTTCGCCATTGGGGCTTTTTTGCACAAAACAGTTTTCAGCTGTCTACACTGGCCCTTTTGCGCAAAAGCATTTCCGGAAAAGGGCTTTTGCCTAAACAGGAATATCAAAGCATTTGTGCAAGAAGCACTGATTTCGGACAGTAGAACATCAGTGCTTTTGCACAAAATCAAGCGGCCAGTGTAGACAGCTGGCAAGTTTTTCCGCAAAAGCAACTGCTTTTGCAGAAAAACTTGCCTGTCTAGACACCGCCTCTGTGTATATTTTCAGGAACAAAAGAGAAACATCTCTACCCAAGTGCAGATTCATACCAGTTTCTTTGCCAAGAGATGATGCCTCCCTGCCTGGTGATGAGAAAGCCTTTTTGTCTCAAGGGGGAGAATAACCGTGAATATTCATCAGCGTCCCTTCCCCTGAGCGCCTATGATCCAACTTTCCCTCACAGGGGGTTATTGGCAGGTTACCGGCACATTTTTTTTTTTGTGGGAGCCCCTTGTGGAAACGTTGGCAAGCAGTTGTGCAAGGCTGGGTGGAGAAGGGGCCTTCAGCTGCAGCGCGGTCTGTAACCCAACCCGCCACTGCCATTTCCACACCAACCAAACTGGAGCAGAGCAAAACACGGGATCAACTCTTCACCTGTATAGACCCTCTTGTAAGCATGTGGCGGGCATGCTCCGGCTGGTAGAGCGCAGCCTGCGGAGTAAAGGGGGCGTGTCCCTCCCTCCCAATCGCCTGCATAATCCCATTGAGAAGCCGCGGGGGCGACTCCACGTGATTACACCCGTGGGGCTGGCGCGGTGCAGACCCAGCTGTGCCGGGAGACCGCTCTCTGTCTGCTGGAGGGAGGCTGGTGTGGGAGAGCGGGTGGGGACGGAAGGTGAGGCTACCAAGGGAGAGCGGCTTCTAATGGAAGCAGGCTGTGTATAAACGGGCTTTTATGTATAGAAAAAGGGGTTTTTTTTCTCGACTCCTTCGGGCAAACCCTGCCCAGGAGCTGAGTCTCCTGGAAGCCCGTGCTTAGATTTACATACCTTTACCCTGGCCCTCTCAATGTCGTTGTTGGTAAACAGTTCAGTGAAAGACGCTTTCAGCAAACTTAAAAAAGCGGTGAGGTAACTAGGTAAATAATGTGCCTTTGCAAACACTATTTAATCACCAGCGTGAACCCGAATTCTAGCCAGCGCGATAGTCTGCTTTGCAGCGAGCTGCTGAAGTCTGAGTCTTGTGGCTTTTTTTTTAAGGGAATAAGGAAGGGGAGGCGGGAACGTCACGTTGTTTCAGTTCTGTTGGGTTATCGGCATGCTCGGATGGAGTTGCGAGCCGTTACACACATGAATAGTTACCCTGCGTTGGGTAAGGTTGGAAAAGGAGCCCTATCAGATTTCGTTACAAGTGCGGCGGATTCTACCACGGGAATCGCTGGGAAACTTTAGGCGCAGTTCCCAAGTGTGAGACTAGCGCCCGAGTGTATCAAAGCAGTAAAAAAAAAAAAAAAAAAACCGCAAGGCTCCTTCACAAAATCAGCGGCGCTATTGTGTGCGAATTTTTTTATTAACTAAAAAGTTAACTGCGCTGAAATTCTCTTGCAAGTTTTTTTTTCATGTTTGAAGATGGCAACAAACATTTTCATCCTCTCGCCTAAGAGGTTCCCCCCCCAGTTCTAGCAAGATGAAAACCCATTTCCTTTCTCTTTTACCCCTGTTGCATTTGTGAGTTGAATAAAATGACCATGAATTGGTATTGGCCACAGCAACATGAGAAAACCCTGCCTGGGCAGAGGAAGAAACCACATAAAAGCGCGTGTGTGCATTTTGTGGGGGAGGGGACGAGAGAAGGATGATGCCTGAAGCTTCTTGGAGTCAGAGCTGCGATTTGTGAGTGAACCATGATGAAATCACCCCTGGACAAATCAAATGAGCCTGTCAACTTCACCAGGTGGGATTAGTTGTAGCTAGTAGACTGAACTCACGGAGCAAGCAGAGCGCTGCAGTCAATATAAAGAGAGCCACACTGTGAAGGCTTTTCAAGAATTCTCTAGTATGGCTAAGAAAAGCTGTTTCCAGTTACCCCAGGTAGGAAAGGAAAGGGAAAAGAACTTGCTGGTTTTGAAAGGAGTAACCAGTGTCTCCGGGGGAGAGTTATTACAAAAAGAAACATTTCAGCTTTTCAATCAGATGTTTTATTCACAAGCCCCTTTCTGGTTTTGATTACTCTAAAATTGTGACTCTCGTTTACTGCCTCAGAAATAGGAGCTGTAGTGACTGGGAACTCAAATAATATAGCCAGTCCTTCTTTTTCTTTTTAATCAGAGTACTCTTAAATTGGGATTCTTGTTTTACTTTGTTCATTTTGTTTTCTTACATTTCAGGTAATATCCTTATTTGCTTTTGCCTTTGGAGTTAACGTCTGTGTCGGATTTACAGCAAATCGATTTAGAAGATCTGAAGACTGGGATGAGGTTCCCATCTCAGGTACTGTAAATGACAAACTGTACATCTCACTAACTCGATGTTATATATCATAGTTAGAAAACACCCCCACTCTGAAATACTAGTTTACTGTTCCTTTCAGTTGTGGGATATAGTGAAGAATATGTTGACCCTGAATCTACTGACCTTTGGGACTCACCTATAGGTTACCTGTTTACTTAAACTTTTGTTCTGTGTGCATGTGACTATGGAGAATTAGGCTTATTTTAGAGCTGACTTAGTCTGATATTACAGTTGATTGTTGTACATGGTGCCTGACTTTTTGTTCATTGAGCCTATGAATAGATTCACTTACTTTTATTTTATTTCCTAACTCCATCAGGTAATTTTCAAGTGCAGTTTTCATTCAACTAGGCAGAGAAGCAGTTTGTGCAGTACTTGTTTGGTCAGGGTCATTTCAAATCTAGAGTCACTGAGAACAGCTTCTTAGATTTCTGTATCTACTAATGCTGATTTCTGAACAGCAAACTGCTAAATGGAAAAGGGAAGGGTATGATCAGCAGGTGTTAATGTCGAAAACTTCATGATGAAGATGTGCTGTCAGTCATGTATTTTTACTTCAGCTTCAGATCTTTCTCTTCTGAGTGGAGAAGAGAAAGGACATGCCACAACAGAGATGCTTGTTTATATTTTGTTGGTAAACATAGGATTTTGTCTCCTTGGGCATGTACCAAGTGGAAAAACATGTAAAATGGAAAGGGAGTCTTTTTGGAAAAAAGTAGTCTTGACTTATGTCTCTGTTCCCTCCTTTGGCATGAAAAAGGAAGCTTGTGGTAATTGACTTTGACTTGGTTAATATAACTGAAATGAAAGGGTTTCATTTACAATACCCAACTGTAATGATAGTGTGAGAACTTTCATAAAGAGATTGCTTGTTTACAGGGACTTGAGTAAGTTGTGTTCCCAGTAATACGTTTGTTCGTTTCCCCCTCACCTTTCCCGGAACTGGTGTCTGCTCAACACATTGATCCATGTGGCTGACTAAGGACATTTAGGTAACCAAAAAGGAAATCAGTTCTGGATTTTTTTTCTGGTTTTAAAAAAAACACCTACTTGCTACTAAGGCATAAGTTGCTCCTATTAGTTTCCTCTTAGCATGTCTCTTCACAGATGTTAAGGAAGGTAGTATGCCTGATATACAGTATTTGGCAGTAATAGTAAGACCTCTGTTTCATGGTTTCCACATGCAGACTGTCATTTGATTTTGTTTGAGCAACACAAGGACAGCCAATTGTCTGTAATACAGCAATAAGAGGCAGCAAGTGAAGTTTTCTTCTCTTTTTTTAGTGCCAGACAAGTTACTTCCAATATATCAAAATTAATTTATAATAGAACCAGGATGTAAAATCTTAGATAATAGAACAAATGTAATAAATGGAAGAACTCAGTTGCCCTCTGTGAGGGGGAACTACTCTGCACAAAAGTAATCTTTTTTTAACTGGTAACACATACTCTGATCAAAGGAGGCTGTCTGGGTCTTGAAATTACCAATCACATACGACTCCCATTAATACTAATGGAAACTGCATATGGAAACAGCCTTCTTAGAAACCCAACACAGTGAAATGCCAAGGTAAAAGATGACTGCAGGTTCTCTTTCAACTCCACTGAGTTTAGGCTTGCATAGTGACATGAACCTTGATGTCTGCACTTGATAGTTTAAAGCGCAGCTGCGGCAGCGCTGTAAATGGAATGTGTGGCCGCTGCACTACTACTGGGCGAGAGCTCTGCAAGGGATTAGCCTGGTTCCCACTGGTGCTTTACAGCACTGACTTGCTGCTCTGGTGGGAGGAAGAAGAGGGTGCTTTTTCATACTCTTGATCCAAAAAGTTACAGTGCTATAAAGTGCCAGTGTAGATGCTAATCTTCCAAGACTGGCAGTGCTTTTGGAAAAACTAAGATGATAAAACGCTGTCACCGTTCATTGCTATACAGGAATGGTATCTTGTCTGCACTGGTTCCCGTCATTCTAGTACTTCATAATGATTCCGAATTATCCTAACTTTAATTCTGATACTACTTTGTCATTACTATGTAAGTGCTGAATAATTCATCTAAATGATTTTAAACTGAACTTTTTAATATCTAATAAGCTATCGGTATTTGTACACAACAGCTAGCTGCATTAAAATAACATCTAAGGACCTAAGTCTCCCAAAGCAAGGGATATCAATAACTGAGGCTGCCACTTCTTAACTTGATCTATTAAGTTTGGATAGAGTACCTGTTGATAAGTAGCTTTAGAATGTATAGTCTTAGTATAATATCCTCTTGGGCCACATGAAGTTAGCTCCCATCCTGATAATATTACTAACCCGTTGTGCTTAAGTCTGTTTCCTAGATCTGTGAATGTGGGAGCCTGGATTCTAATCACATCTGTATTTTTAAGCATACGACATGTGCTAGACTTGAGTCAGAAAAATTACAATTTGTTTTAAATGGTCTCTTGCTGAAATCTTTCAATTTCAATGACACGTTGCAAAATATAGTATATGCAGTGACACTGTTGCTCCAAACAACTTTTTTTATTTTTAATATACTAACTAGCCATTGCTTAATTCTTGCCATGCAGTGTCTCTTCTAAGTGCGATGCAAATACGCCTAAGTAGTTGTCACAGATGGAAGGATGGATTGGCTTACATGGTCAAAATGCAGTCTATACACAGTATTGCAAATAGACTGCATTTTGACCATGTAAGTCAATCCATGTAATCAAACAGACTGATCTGATATAGCACCTTTGTAGGTGGATATAACATACTGCTTGGTAATGCTTGCATAATTCTTTATCTCTCTCTATATACATTAAAAAGACATTTCCTGTGGAACGATGGAATGATGTCATCTGCATCCACGTGCTGCCGCCCGCCTCCATCTCAGTCCTCAGCCATTTGCTGTGGCCATCTTGGGTGTAGTCCCCTCCAGATATGGGCTGCTCTGGCTCCTGCTTCATGCCCGGGGGGCTGTACCACTGGGGAGGAGATGCTGGTGCCGGGTCCCCTCTGCCAGCTGAACCCGCTCCTGCACACCCCTGGGCTCCACCAGGTGGTCTCTGCTATCTGAGCCTGACAACCCCCCCATTCTCCGGCTGCACCGGGTCCCCTCCACTGCCCCCAATGTGTGCCTGCTAATTCATTGGTACATGTAGCGTTGGCATACCCCAGGGGGCTGTCTGCTGGCAACACGATGCTGTCCCAGTCTGTTCAGTCTCTTCTTGCACACAACCTAACTGGGTCTCTAATCATTTTCACTGCCTGAATTGCAAATCTGTCCATATCTGCTACATCTTTTTGGAGATAGGGTGACCAAAAGTGAACATAGCCAGCATTGCAAGCGAGGGCAAACTCTTAACTTATAGAATGGCATAAAATTAAGTGTCTCATTTAATCGTAATTAATACAAGTAATTAATGCAAAACAAATTAGATTTTAAAAAGAAGCAGTAGGTAGTGCCTGAGATACGGTGCTGAGAGCCATGCAAATGTAAGTAAGTGGCCCCCACACACCAAGCTGAGACCCTGCACCAGTAGCCCCCTTATTCATTGCCCTGCTGAGACCCTGCACCCCCACCCGATCACTCACCCCCTCCGCTGAGATCCCAGCACCTCCAGCCCCCTTTCACACCACCCTACCGAGACCCTGCACGCCACCCTGCTCACTCAACCCTTCTGCCGAGACCTTGCACCTCTACCCTGCTCACTCATACCCCCCCCCCCAAGCTGACACCCTGCACCTCTAGCTCCCTTCCCCTGGCCAGACACCTACCCCCAGAGAGAGGGGGGTTGGACAGCATAGCGAGCAGGGCGTGCAGCCCCCTACTAAAGAATAAAAGGCAATATGCCTCAAATAGGATTTCTTTCTTAGTCTGTGGTATACCACTTCACCAAAGTGTTCCTTAAACAACAACAGTAGTTTGAGTGTAAATGGCAAAGACTGAAGTTAAAAAAAATAATAATTAAGCAACTCTGGTACTAAAAGGGGAAAACCTGAAGTTCAAAGACCGCCACAATCCTCTATCTCAAGCAGGATCCAGATTTGATGGTTTGGAAGCTCCTGCCAACCTAGGAATTTTCAACAGAATTTCCTACCTTCATGGTCCGTGCAGGCACATTTGACAACTCAAACCTGCTACTTAGCTGTTTGCAATTTCTTTAAAGCTGACAGTGTGTATTCAAACAATTTTGCACACACCAGTATTCTGACCACAGCTGGATGCGTGACCTGCAAGTTATGGCTCAGCCTCCAAGGCGAGGTCATCTGAAGCAAAGAACTGAACAGTCTTGATATCCAGTGGCTACAGGAGTTAAAAATGAATCCTCTTGGTGATGTGATGTGTCTTACGGTACCTCAGCCACGGGTATAACCAGTATGTTTAGTCAGATGTTATATCAAGCTATGGTACATTATGTTCTACAGTTTGTCACGTGCATCGTTGAGGCATATGCGATAGTTGTCCTGAAAAATAAGAAAAGATAGATAGCTCAGTGATCTATTTAGAAGATAACACAAAGCTAACGTTAAGCCACTGAGAGACTACTTTAAACACTGCTGAGACAGTTGCTTCGAGAATCATAGAAAATGTTTTATTGAAGTTAATGTTTCAAATAAAGTTTACAAGGTAAAAAGAAAGGCACTTTTGTACATCTGGGGTCAAGCTTGGGCTATGAGGAAATAAAAATAGTAGTTTATACAGTTAATGAGACACATAGTAGATGTAACTAGCATTGTCCCAGATCAAGGTGGTTGAGTTTTTCAAGTGTCCATGTTCTTGGGGATGCCACTCATGAAGGGGACAGAGTGCCAATATGTGGCGATAAAGTGCATAGGCGCATGGGTGGAGTGAGTCCCTTGGTCTGTGGGTGGCTTGTGGGTCTTCTCCGGAAAGATAAACTTTCAGGGAAGGAAGCAGGCGATTTCTCTGTCTCTCATCCGCCATCTGTCACTCATCCTGGTAGTGCCAGTAGCCTGTGACTTGCTACTTGT